TGTTTGCCAGCCAGATATAAATCGGCTCATTATGGTGCTCAGCCTTTTAGGTCAAATTAACAAGGTTTGGGAGGAAGTAAATGCTGTCATTATCCTGGTGTCACTCCATAATGCTGGTGTGAAACATGCTCAAATTTGCGATATTCAGGTTTATGGGCATGTATCTCTAAAACATCATTAAAGAGCACTTTGCTGCAGCAAATAAAACAAAGACCTCATGCCACTTTGTTAAATTAGCTGTATTTTGATACACCATTTGTGCATCATCTATTTATTTAAAACCAACAAACCCATTTTGACAAATGGAAGTCTCTGCTTTGTGTGTCATTTTGCCTCATTTAAAAGGTCACGGAAAAGAAGTGTGTCAATAACACATAAATCACGCTTTGCGTGGTATATAAATGAAGACGTTCCGAGGTCAGAAAACAAAAGACTTCCATAAGCTCGGCAGAAGGCACTGCTTTGACTCTGTTTCCAGCCTTGAAGGTGGTGCTGCTGGCGGTGCTGGTGGTGTTGGCCGCGTGGGCAGATTCGGCCCAGGCCCAGAAAGCTCTGAGACTCTGTGGCCGTGAGTTTTTTCAGGCGGTCGTCTACACGTGTGGGGGTTCCAGATGGAGGCGGGGCCAAACCGAGGACCCCCTAAACGGTCAGTATATATTTTGACTTTGCTTGATCAGTCTTCATCCCAATGTAAGTGAGAGCAGAAAACAAACTCTTATTGTTAGATTTTTGGTAGTTATTACTTTAACAACACCAACTACTGAAATTTTAGACAGTTTTTGGATGCGATTAATCGCGATTAATCGTTTGACAGCACTATTATGAATACAATAAAAAATAATTGAGAACAAACATTAATAAAACTCTGTAAAGAACTGATTACAAATCTGTTGGAATCTAATTCCATTTAATCTACATTACAGTTACTTTGCATGCTCTGATCACATAACTAAACGTAGTTTTTAGCTTTGTAGATAGGAACTCACAAGACCCACTGAAATGATGCAATAATGCAGTCAAAATAAAACTTACAATTAAATCTTGGCTGAATTTGGAACAGAATACTAAATGAATTGTACTCTTGCTTTTTCTTTCTGTCATACAAAGCCATTGCAGAAATAGCAGGAGTAGCAGAACTGTGCTGATTCAATGTCAGCTCTTGTGCGCCACCTGCTGTACAGATTTGAATTTTACATTCTGACATCCCCCAGTCATCCCGTGTACAGCATTAACTGTGGAGGAAACAGAAATCATGTACAGTACCTGTCTTTGATTTTACACTGGTTATGAAATCGGGACTGATGTGGAGTCACTGACCTCTGCAGGAATGGATCGAGTAAGAAGAGAGGCCTATGAAGCGCTGCCCTCCACGTGCTGTAAAGTGGGATGCAGAAAAAGTGATCTTGTTCGCATGTGCTGAGAAACACTCCCAACATCGTCATCTTCTCTGTGCAAAATGCATTTAAAATGTTCTTTTTTCAGAGAACTTGAATTACATAGAAACTCTCAAAGTTAAAATGGTTTTAAAATGAACATTCGAAAAATGTTCTGATGTGGTTTTCCAAGAAATTCTTCAAATGCAAAAAAAGTATTTATTTAAAATGAGGCGACATTTAAAGAGGACCAATACTTTATAGAAAGGAATGTTGTCTTTTTTTAGAGGTACTATTAAGGAAATAGTTCACCTTAAAATTAAAATAAAAAAACACCCTATGTTGTTCAGAACCCATAGCCTACTTTTTGCTGTCTGAAATATACATTGGGTATTGTTTGGGTATATGCATATACTATATGTATACTTGGCCTATATGTGCCCCAAAACATAGTTAAGTGGTTAAATGTTTATGAAGTTAATTAAATGGTTACGAACCTGAACTAATGTTTTTAAAAATTTTGTTAAAAAGGTTCAAATCTAGAAGCAGGTACAAATTCTAGATTAGAAAATATATATTTTTTTATTATTTATAGTCTACCCAATATTGTATTTTATGGAATATATCCAATATCAGGAGATACCAAGTGTAAAATTGAGAATAAAAGCATTTTGAACAAAAACATAAACGTGGTTTATTTGAGTCCTTATTTTTTGGGAAATAGCAGTAAATACATTTTTTAATTCCTGCCAATTTAACTTGAGATTCACAATAACCTCATATTACCCAGTCCTTAAAGAAACAATAGGCCTATTACTGTCAGTCAGTGGTTTAGCCTTTTGAAGTGAAGTCGCATCTCCTCCTGGCGTTGAGAGCAGTTCTTCCGCGTGTCAAACACGACTGAAGAAAAAGAAGAAGAAGAAACAGACTGAAGCAGATAAAAAACCAAACATGGCAGCTACGAAAACATATACGGCATGTTATGCTAAACAATTTATGAAACAAAAGTGTCAAATATATAGGTAAATAGTACAGAACTAATCCATTTCAAAATAGGTGTGATCTTTGAGCAGAGATCAATATCAGCAGACTCAAGAAGCAGGATGAAAAGATTATAACATTAATAATGCATGGTGGCTACATTAAAGGTGCCATAGAATGCAAAAATCACTTTTATAAGGTGGTTGAACACAGTTGTGTGGCCGCAGAGTGTAAAAACAACCAGCCTATAATGGTAAAAATCCACCCACTCATTGTTTTATAATCCCAATAAATCATAAACAGTCTCTCCAAACAAGCAGTTCCAGATTTCTCACTACTATGACGTCATACTCGGGAAAGTCCTGCCCATTTGTGATGCTCTCTGCCCTATTAGCATAGACACAGCCCTGAGTGAGAAGCAACAGTCCGCCATTACTGTTTTCTTGCTGTAGCTGCTGGAGATACAATGGCTGCGTTCCAGTTCACTTTTAGACACACACTGTAAAACTTCCCTAAGCACTTACCCTCGGGGGAATCCCCGCTGCCATTTTGAAGTGCTTTCCACTTCATCAAGTGGATGAGGGAAGTTTACATGGACACTTCAGGCCGCTCTGTATACCACAATGCAACATGACTATGACGTCTCCGCAGATCGTGTTTAATTTATCCCTACCCCAAACAACTCTATAATATATAATTTTTTTTGTTTTTTTACATTTATAACAGCCCAAGCATATCTATATACATATAGAATGCTGCACCAATCAAATTCGTAAGGGGAAACATGTAAACAATAAACCAACTATTCTAAGTGATCAAGGGCTTAGGACGTTCCAATTCAGCCCATTCCAAGGGTTCCGCCAGTAGTGGGCACTCATGCAACGTAATCAATGACGTACATCCGAGTAAACAAGAAGGAGGGAAGTTAGGAGTGAAGGGCTTAAAAAAAGTGAACTGGAAGCAGCCAGTGTCAGCGGTAGTTAAAAATTGCATTTGGAAGCAATGTGAAGTCAGTAACACGGTCACCACCAGTTTAACTGTAACACCGGTATGCCGGAGCATGAGCTAATGAAGCTCCGCCCTCTTATGAAAAGGGAGGCGGAAGCACCAGCTCATTTGCATTTAAAGGGACAAACACAAAAACGGCGCGTTTTGGCTCATACCCTAAACGTGGCAATTTCAACAAGCTATAAAAAAGTATCTGTGGGGTATTTTGAGATAAAACTTCACATACACACTCTGGGGACATCAGAGAACAATTTAAAATATTGTATCAATGCATTCTATGGCACCTTTAAAGTTTTCTGCAACTTTTGTTCTCTACATGTAACGTAATAGAGCGTTAAATGTTACAATCCGATCCACTTTCTTCATAAAGAAAGTGATTTTTACCAATTGATGAATATCTTTTAAAACAGACCTACCATTATCTCCAAAGTTGTTGTAATGATATACACTTCTGTAGAAGTCACAGTTCAGATATTTCAATTTAATTAGAAACAAAAAACACATAAAAAAACTTCATAATGGCAAATTCCTGATGAAGAACTACAATACCCACAGACAAGAGCAAATCGTGCATCCACTGTGCCGTTAAGCAGCGAACTACTACTCCCATGAAGCATTGCGAATGACGTAATCAAATCGACTTTTGTTTATTTATTCGTCTGAAATGAATGTAATAATTCTTATAATAATTCACTAAACGTGCTTTGCAAATCTTGGGGGGACACACGATCGAAGCCGATAAAAACCAAACATGGCAGCTTGAAAGTAAGTAAGATCAACGAGAGGGAGTTTTTATCGGTTTCCGAAGCACTTCAGATAATATATATATATATATATATACGGGATATTTAGTCAGAAAATGTAATAGTATAAAACAAAAGTGTCTAATATATAGGTAAAATCTAAAGTGTAGGAATGACGTAAACAAATCTACTTTTTTGTCTAATGTTATAATTCGTTAATAATTTGGGGGGACTTTGAGACATTTCAATGCACTGTTTTTATTTGTATATCTATGTGCAACTGTAAGAGTTTTTTCGGCAAAATAAGTTTGATGTTTTACTTAATAGCAATTGTATGAATTTGCTGAAATGTTCAATTTATTTTCATTTAAATTATTCTAAACCATATATTTTCATAGACTTCTGCAGCGGAGTTATTTTCTGTTAAACAAAACATGAATGAAAACTATATTAACTGAACTGAATAAATGAACATATTGTCAATTATATTGAAATGTATAATTGACAATAATGAATTACCAAACAATAACAGTTGAAACAGTTAATAATAATAACTGGAAATACTTATAAAGTACTTCTAAGTTCTCAAAACAAATGACTGACAATAGACATATAGATTTATTGACTTACAATGAGGTATGACACACAATGAGGTATTAAAATGATGACCTTTTAACTCAATGTACGGGAAGAGATTAATATTTTAAATGTTTATATGAGGTAAACCATTTTCTTAAGACAATGGTATTTAAATTGTGTCCAAAATGTGCTTCCATAATATAAACATTAAATAGTAGGCATTAATATAGACAATAATTCCACTTCTGGCCAACATTTACAGCCCTTAGCAACTTAATTTGAAGCTCTCACAAATGTCATCATCAGCAAGTATATATATCTCAAATGCACACAGTCAGCAGTATGTTCCTATGTTTGTTTAAACCGTTGCATTTAACTTATCATTATGAGAGATGTTGAGGAAACGGAATTGCCTCATACTTACTCAACCTCTAGTTAGTTGTAAGCTCAAAAAGTCATTTTAAAGGCCATTTAACTGACTTGAGACAGCTCAGAGCAAATATGAAGTGTAGATGCCACTGGTCGGCTGAAATCACTCGTCACTAAAACCCAGCTGATATTCTTACACACTCATTCAAAATAAACACCATAGACAGTAGCGGTGGCGAAGAGCGAGCTGTTTTTGAAAGTATGCGAGGAGAAATTATCGTTTGTTTCGTCCCACAGGCATCGACTCCCCATGCGCATGTTCTGGTCTCTGATCTGACCAATGCTGATGATGACGATGATCTTATAGCGGGGAATCATCAAATCTTTAACTCTGGCCTTGACCACCTGAAATCACAATAACAGAACATGCTTTAGCATATATGTGTGTTTATATATTTATAACCTCAGCTTGCTTTTACTAATTAAAATATGTGTGCTGATAAGTCAGTGTTAAATGTGTTATGTGTTTATTATGTTTTAGAAAAAATGACTGAGTGTATGAAGGTCAGCTGACCTCAGAGATGGTTTTGGTCATCTGTCTGCACAGCTCGGGTTCATATTTCTCCTCCTGCAGGTAGCTGGTCAACACATCCTTCAGAATGTCCTTCACTGTTAACACCGGGAAACGTCGTGCGGGCCCTGCGCAAACATTTACTATGATTTACTGATATAAAACTCCAATGCACATGACTGTGGGGCAAAATAAGAAGGACAAGATGTCTAACAAATGACCTCTGACTTCATAGCCCATCTCAATTCCAAACTTTGAAACGTATTTCTGTCATATTATTTATTCCTGTTCTGCAGTAACTTTCAAAATTGTAACAAAAAAAAAAAACCCTAATAAGCTTGTTGTGTTGCAGTTTAAAGAAGTATTTCTATAAAATTATATACCAGACAGCATAGTTTGGACCAGACAAGCTCGATTACTTTATAGCTTGATTACTTTCACAATATGAGTTATTTTGAAGTAGTATGCATTTATATATTTTCATATATATTTTTCATTTAAATTTTTGTTAAAGTTTTATTATTATTATTGTGATATTAGTTTGTGTGTATGTGTTTTTTTAACTTTAGTTTTATTTTTAATACATCAAGTTAACCTGAGAAATGTTGCTTTGGAATAAAATAAAATACCTTTTTTTAATTTATCATTTTTTGAATACAATCTTTTAAAAAGTTGATATTATCGAAATTATTCTGTCATTTTCAAGCAGATAATTCATAACAAAATTCACAATCTTAATACTAATATTTAAGATGTTGTTTCCCCACCAGACATGATCAATAACTACCTGTATGATGTTAATTTAGTAGTTGACTATTGTTAGATAAAGGAAAATTACCAAAAACTAACAGAATGGAAAGTGACATTGAAGACGCAGGAAAATTCTATAAATTAATAATCAATTAAAAAATATAATATTGTTATATTTCCAGGGGAAATTTTTTTGCTTGCAATATTTTGATTAAAGAACAGAAAAAAATTAAGAAAATTAAGAATATTTCTTAATAAAATACAGAAAGTCTCATGTTGAGAGAAATCAGAAGATGTTACTGTAGTTCTAAAATAAATATGAATATGCATTAATGCAATAACATAAAACAACAAAAAAAAAACACACAGATTCAGTATTCCTCAAAATGAATAAAAATAATGCAACTCAGAATATGACGCAAACCTGCAATAATTAAATGTTAAACAACACAAATATCCTTTATGTATTTAATCCCATTCTATTAACCAATATCTTTGCTTCTGACCTTCGATGATCCAGTTCAACCGTACTAATAAGCACAAATTACTCTAGACAACATTTGTGTGTCTTTTTTTATTGCTGAAGTGTGTTGAAATTTCTTCTTCTTTATTCTACTGTACGGATGTAAATGTACTTTCCCTTCAGCCTGAGGCTTATTCATTTTTCTCAACATTGTAATGCATTACTTTTAAAAGTAACTTTCCCCAACACTGCTTATTTGTGCAAAAAATTCATATTCGATCCAATACATTAAGACATTTACAATGAGGACTTGAAAATGTACTGCACAACAGGAATTACCCATATATGATGTCAGTTTCTTTTGTGTAAAATCACGTTGCTGGATCTTAATCAATGGCTTATTTGGTGAGGTTAGTATCTCTATAGCAGTGAAGGAGAAGAGACTCACTGAGCTGATAGGTGTTCTCCATTTGCACCGCAGGCCGTGGAATATCATCATGATGTCCAGGCTCCTCCATGTAGGACACTGTGCTGATAGAGCTACACACAAACACAAATGATCCTTCATCATCTATACTTTTATATGGACACCTTTCAACGTTATTATTTTGTCACGTGACTTGCTAGATGTTAAGGAATGACAGGAACTCACTCCTTAGTTTTGGCAAAGGCTTCTTTAGCTCTGACTTCATGACTGCCCAGAGAAGACAAGCTTCCGCGCTTCTTCAGCAGACGTGCTGCTTTCTCTTTCGCTAAATCAGACATTTTATTGCGGAATATCGACTCAATTGTAAACGCTATTCTACGAAAATCTGAAAGACATAAAAAAAAATCATTTACATTTGCATTGGTAAAGCACTTATAATTTAGAAGTCTATTAAAACTTGTTTCTGTTGATAAAATAGATCGTAATTTAAACTCAAACGCATGTACATAACTTCATGGCAGCACAACACACTTACCGCTTTGATGCGACTCTTCCATAAACCCGGAAATGCTAAGCACCGCCACCGGCTTGTTGCCAAACGTTGCCTTGACAACAGAGGATTTCATTTTCTCTTTGAGTGGGATCTCCCGCCAATTAATTACTGTACGAATTCTGAGGCGCCCATGGCAACAGTGTAGTTTTGAAATGTTAATTATAGCATGCTGACTTTGCTTAGTTAACGTACGTTCACCTGAGCGGATTTAAAGGGGTCACATGATGCTGCTAAAAAGAACATTGTTTTGTGTATTTGGTATAATGAAATGTGTTTATGTGGTTTCAGGTGCGGCGGGGTCGAGAACGGCACGCCCGGAGATATTGTGATGCCTGCGGCAACCACATGTGACGACCCCGGGCTGGACTCCGCTGCGTCCACGGTGAAAGCCGATCTGGTGATCCACAGCCCAACGTTGAAGTATTTCCTCAGGGACCAGCACAGATCAGCTCTAGGCATGACGAAGCGGATATCGTCCTCTTTTGGAAGACCAAACAAAGTAGTTTCGCTTTCACAACGAAGCACACAGCGCCTTCACGACATGGCGGCGGCAACAACAATACTACAGCGAGAATAAAAGTTACGCCTTCTTTCTTTGCGTGAACATTTGGGCGGCGTTATGCAAATCTTCCCACATCGTGACGTAGATATGTGGGGGCGTGTTAGAACGAGCCGTTTTAGGTAGGTGTGGCTGACTCTGAACTTTTATAAAGAATATCTCTTTGGATTTGAGACTTTAGTCTTTGCAACTTTACAGATCTTCTTTATGCGCCAAGAGTTTGTAACACTTCAAAGAGAAAGGAAAAATTGAAATCACATCATATGACCCCTTTAAATGTAAGACAATTTAATCACCTTTTTAAGATCAATTAAAGAAACTATCAACACAAACTCAGCACACATGAAAAAATGATACAGATCTAAAAATGTATAAATGAGATACAAAATGTTTTCAAAACGAAGTGAATTTATGAAAAAAGAACAAATAGCCTAATATTGGGCTCATCAATTCAAAGGGAAATTAAATTCCCATTTCATACCCCATTGACAGATATTTTGTTCTTGTTTTAAACATAAACTCATTTAATTTTGTTCAGTTTCTCTGAAAACAAGACTTCATATGCTTCTGGTTGCATCTCAAGTAAATGTATCATGATTCAATGATGTTTAGATATATATTTAATGCCATGACTTTATGAATTTAGGACTTTCTGCTTTGATTTAAGACTTTCTTAAGGCCTTAATTTGTGGCTGGTCAATGCAGAAACCCTAGTGTTTATAAACTAAAGTGATAGTTATAGTGGGATTTGTGTGAATTTGGATAAATCAGATTTTTTTTGTTATGTTGAACACAGTTCAGATTGTTTGGTAAAACCGTGGTCATTCTTTTTAAAGAAAGAAAACAAAAAATAAATTAAAATACAAATATTTTTATGTAACCTAAGTGTAAACTCATAGTGTTTTGACTATATAGTACTCCCAATTTCTGAGAATATTTAAGATTGGTAATTTTATCCCTGCAATAATAAATAAAAAAATGCAATAATAAATAAAAAAACAATGTTATTTGCATGAGGATTTGTTTAAGTGTGTATATTGTGTTTGGTGACAATAACCTCAACAAGTAGCCAAGAATGTTAAACATGAATTTCTTGATTTTATTTTTAAGACATTACATTATTTTCCACTTCTGATATATTTAGCATTTTCAGTGTCTATATTCTCTTAAAATCTGGGGAGAGGTTACTCTATGCATGAAATGTTTGCATATTCCATTTTCTGAACGATGTATGAACAAGATGCAAGTTAGCTGACAAACACAATACCACAACATCTGTGGGATAAAAAGTAATAAATACATTTTTTACATATATAAAATAAGAGACGGAGACATGTTTTAATTGGAATAAACCATCCACAAGCAGCAGCTGTCTTTCCACCCCTCCACTTTTAGGGTAAGGCCTCCAAACCACCGAAATAAAGTACACTTAATGAATGGCAGAAATAATGTGACACTTAACTAAAACCAGGTTAGCCGAACCACATGACCGAAAATGATCCAGGAATGTCATGTGTATTCCTAAATTATATCTCTATAACTAGAGATATTTTTTAGACACTGGAAGCTTCTACGCACTTGGATGGATGGATACTCTCACAATTGTAAAGTTAATGATCCACATATAAGTCTTGTGACAAAGTCTATATAGCTCAGCAAATAAAAAGCATTGAGAATAAAGATGAACATTTCCTTACTTTCAACACAATACAGTACAAGGAAGTGATAAATGAAAGGATGTCATCAATGTTCTTCTGTACTAGCCAGTTAAAATGCTGTTTCTTTCCCGTTTTCAACAATAAAAACAGTGTTCATAATCCATTACAAACCACAGAATAGGCATAAAATAAATTCCATGAATTTTAAATAAATTAATAAATGAAAATAAAGTGCCGTCATGAACTGTAAATGCTAATAATAACTTGACAGGAAAGACATAGAAACTATATCCATTTGGACACATGTATAACAATTTCTATTTTACATTTTTACACATTATCTTTAAATATTGCTACAGTACAATGATTTGGGAAAACAAAATCCACATTGTGGAAAACCAAAAGGAAAACGGTTTACATTTGACCAATTCCTTAAGTTGATTTCGATTTAAGGAATTCTGCATCCCTGACACAAATGGAGTTTCATTTCCCTAAAATGTCTACATAAATAAATGATTTGAAGAAATAAAAAAATAAAAAAAGAAAAAAAAAGTAGGCATCACTTTTTGCTTGAATTATTAATGTCAGTTACATCCATGTTTAAGCACTTCATTTAACAAAGGACTACAGGCCAGCTAGACAGAAGTGATGCACTCTAACACGCATTCACCAATAACATCAAATCAACATTAACACTGACGCAAGAGGCATTTGAGATGATACTGAGGAGAATATTCTGTGGAAGCATGTTCTCTGCATTTCTCTCTCATCATTTCTAACTGGTCTTTAATTGTAGCATGGTAAGACTTTACAATAAGGGTTAATTCTCTAACTGGTTTTATGCATCATAAACTAATAATGAACAACATTTTTACAGCATTAATAATCTAGGTTAATATTAATTAATAAATTTACTAGCATAGCTAATTAATATTTGCTCATAATTAATGTTAATTTCTATGACTCGAAATGTTTGTAACGTTTGTAAGAAATCTTTTTTAGCATTATAAATGCCTTTACTGTTACAACTGAGTGAATCCTTGCTGAATAAATATTAATTTCTTAAAAAAAAAAAAAACTTACTGACTTTAAACAGTAGTGTACAGTACATGCAGAAATTAACATTAACCTAGAATTAAAAAGGCTGTAACAATATTGTTCGTTGTTAGTTCGTGATACCTAATGCAATAACTAATGTTAACAAACTGAATCTCAAAATCTGTAGCATTGTTTGGGAGAGATCTCATGTTAGTTAAATCGTATTGTTTATTATCTGTCAACATAGCTAAAAGAAAACACTGTTCCATATGTGAACCCTGGTATCATTAGATTGTAATGTCACTAGGTGTGTTTGGTATGGGGCAGAGAGAGAATGTGCAATAGTGAAAAAGGAAACTCTGCCTTCTGCAAGAACCCAGCGAAAAAAGTTCACGTATTGCATTTGTCCTGAAGTTTTATCATATACACACAAAATATTTACTAATATTCACATACACACACCCACAGAACGCACTGATGATATTCTACACCAGACATTGTACGTGAGATTTTGAGTGCTGTATTTCAATAAAAACATTTTCGAAAGTCTTTGTCGTGCCAAAAGAGCATCCTAACATCCCACTCACAGTCCATCCTACATCGCTGTGGCCGGGTCAGTTGTCTGCCAGATATTTACCTGTAGAATGCAAAAAAAGCCCATCTTTATATCAGATACAGCGTAAAAATTAACTACAGGGTTCGTACAGATACTATAGTACAATTCCAGGACTTTTCAATTTTCAAACGCTATTTTGGGGGTTTTCACGGATTACAGTTGGGCCAGTGGTTCAAATGTCTACTTGCCCTGTCACGAAATAAATAAATGCATTAAAAAAATAAAAAAGTTATTGTTTTCATTGTGTTTGACCCAGATAACTTTGTATTCTAATAAAAAAAGCCACCAAAATTTTTAGATATGAGTGAAATTTCTCAGTTGCAATTTCAATACCACAGCAACAACTATTAGCCTAACAAATATAAAGTTCAATCTTCAAGACAAATAGTCAGTAACACAATAAGAACAAATTAGCTAATTACAAGCAATAGCACAAATGAATACAACAGAACAAAGATGCAAATGAAAATTGTCCAAGCAGGTCTAAAAGTCGTATTCAGCTACAGAAATGGAATAATCAAATGAAAAATGTAGAAATTAAATATAGATTAATCCTTGTTAAAGCTACAAATGTTATTCAGCCAAGAGCAGTGAGTGATTTCTTGAGATGGTCCTCACTGCAGGACACAAGATCCAGGGGGCGTGGTCGGATCCAGATCCAACTCCTCCCACCTTACATATACCTCAACCTACCCGTCTCCACCCCCTGATCCCTAAACCCACCCATCTCCACCCC